CATTTCATTGCTAACATACTACAATTAACCTCTGTGTCAACAATAAGTTAATCGGAATGTATTTAATATAAAACCATAACATATCAAATGTTAGGTCAACCGGAAGGTATTTGCACTATACCACAACCATTTTACCCTAGCAAAGTCGAAGGGACAACCATTCAGAGGTTTACTATGATAACTTAATTGGAAGGTCTACGCATTAATGAAAAACAGAGATTCGGATTATGCATTAAATCAAAAGCATTAGATATGTTGAGACTTAATGCGTCAATAACTAATCTCCTAACTTTTACATAAAACCCAACTTAGTAATTCATTACTGCATGCATGAAGTACATAAAACAATAAAGATGGTATGGAAATAATAATAAACCCTAGCTTAGTACTTGCATGAACCATGAGCATAAACTAAGTTACACATTAGGAATACCAAGTACAAAACATTAAAGGAAAGTACTATTCATCAATTAAGGGAGGTATATAACAATAAAACATAACTGAAAAATGCAATTATCATAACTCAAGCAATGTTACACAAGTCCTTGCTCCCTCACTAAAGAGTTAATAAAAAAATTATCCACTCTTCATAGTTATAGATAACCTAGAAAAGTGGGTATCTTCATTCCTCCAAGTAAGACAACAGAACCCTAACTTTTTCCTGAGGTTAGATTAAAACACCACCACACTTCCTTTACGAGGACAAGGCTAGGAAAATTGAAAGAGGTTCAACCCTCCAAGTAAGAAAAGGTCTTCAAGAAATGTTGTGAGAGACTAGGCTAGGGAAAGTTTAAACTAGAAACTGAAATTGAAATTGAAGTCACCAAGCTGACCAATTAGAGTGCAAGTGGAAAAATTGACCAATGAGGAAGAGTTGTCATTTGAGGCAGTTTAAGTACCGTTCAGACAGTGGCCTTTCTCTGGTTCTTCAGGTAATTACTCCTTCAGACTTGTGCTAGCCACTTACTTTACCCTCAGAATGCGCCTTAACGTCTGAACACTGGCAAGTTTGAAACTTTCATTTTTTTGTACTTTGACCCTTCAACTTTCCAAAACTACATTTTAGTCCCTATATTTTCAAAACATTACAATTCCACCCATTAGTAACAATATCTTTAATATCACCCCTTTAATTATTAGATTGGCTCAATTAACCCTTAAAACACATGTAACAATGTCACTTTTTAGGGTTAATCACAATCTTCCCAGCTAAAAATTGCAATCCTTTCATTCAAGTCATCCTCCTCCTTCAATTTTTGTTTTCCCCCACCTACTGGTGCATTTAAGGTCTTAGACTTAGAATTGAGGGATTGTGTGTCCCAAGCTTGGGCATTCTCGGCCAAGGAATCAAATTAATCAAAAGCCTCCTCCGGTTCTTTAGCCATAAATTCCCCCATTACACCATTTCCACAAAATGCCTCATTTGTGAAGATAAAACCTCAGAGAAAAAACTTATAATCTGCCAACTTTCATATCCATGGTGAGGGCATGATGTAAGTAGTTCCTTGAATCTCTCCCAACATTGGTAAACATTTCATTTTCTTTTTGAGAGAAATTTATTATTTGTCGCTTCAAAGTGTTTGTTTTATGAGTTGGAAAAAACATTTTAAGGACCTCTTATTATTTTTCCCTCCATGATCCAATAGACCTTGGCCTAAGGGATTTTAACCATGTTTTAGCTTTACCCTTTAGAGAGAATGGAAAAAGCTTCAAACAGATTATCCCCTCCGCTGCCGTCAAGTCTTGGAATGTGTCCCAAACCTCCTCAAAATCACGAATATGAAGGTAGGAATTTTTGGAATCTAAACCATCGAATGTAGGCAAAAATGTAATCATGCCAAGTTTAAAGACAAAATGATGAGCTTTAACGGAAAAAATAATGCACAAAGGTGTAGTGTGATGGGCAGGATGTAAGTACTCTCTCAATGTTATAACATTATTAATATTTACATTAGCATGTCCAATGTTTACTTCCTCATAACCCTCATTTTCACCATAATTACTCCCTGAATCATCCCCTGATGGGTCCGCTTATGGTATGAAAGGATTACAAATCCCTTGTGAGTTTTGTGGTAATATGGTGTTTTGGACTAATTGGGGATGTGGTGGTAGCAAAAGATTTTGACCTATTGGGTGATTTTGTGCCATATTTGGATGTGTGTGTGCTCGTGGGGTGTGTCTAATAAATCTTCAAATAGTGAGTAAAAATCCTCCATAATCAACCTTCCACCAATCTTTCTATACCAAGAGTTCATGCAACAATGACCACCACAAGGAGCAAAATAAAATAAAATTCAAGAAATTTAAATGACAAGTATGTAAAAATAAAAAGATTTTACTCCATCCCTGCTTATGCAAAAACTGAGTAAACCTTGAATGATGATGGCACACTCCTCAATTGCACCTCCTCTATCCCCCGACAACGACTTCAAAAACTTGCTTCGCATCGAAATTTGTAAACCCAAATATAGTTTGTCAAGTAAGTAGTCATTCTTAGAAGAGTCCAAGATTGATCCACAGGGAGATGAAAATTTTAGAGTGTGAAAAAGGATTAATAAAAGAAAATATGTTGTGTTTCAGAGAGAGTGAATTGATAATTGAACTTTAAAACAAATGAACTATATTTTTTTAAGAAAAGTAATGTGGAAAACATACCAAGGCATTGGATACTATTTCAATAACACTTGGGTAGCAAATTTATCCCAATTTCCAATCTCAATTGGGAATAAACTAGGGAGTGAACCCAATTGCAGGATTTGACAATAATTAATTATCAAATTATCTTAGGGTATAATCAATGAGTAAATATAAATGAATCCAAATATTCAACAGTTATTTACAAGCATTTAACATGCAATCCAACTAGCATAAGAATTCAAAGGATTATATAGACAGAAAACTTTGCCAAAATTAGATGGATTGAATTAATTTAGTAATCATCAAATGAAGAACATAAGATTAATTTACATGACCCAAATGAAATGAAGTCTCCCCTAGCCTTAGGATAATGATTAGTTAGCCATAGAAGATGTGCTAATCACAAAATTAAGGAAGAAAAGTAATAGAAAAATTTTCAGATCTAGTAAAAGCTTAAAAACTCTCTAAAAAGTATAGAGTTCTTTTTTCCAAAGGAGGAAGATGAAGCAAGTCTCGCGTCATCAGACTTTCTGATTGGTTGGGAGCAAAAAAAAAACACATTCGAACATGTATTAATGACTTTCGGACGTGGTCTTTTGGGAGCTTAGCCTATTTCTGCCTCTGATGCTTCACCTCATGTTCGGACTTGGATAAATTTTGTCAAGATGTGACCTTTTGAACTTCAATCTTCAATTTTCACTTTTCCTTTGTGCAATCCACTCTAATGTTTGCCTATTTGCCTCCTAATCTTTTCATTTCACCTGAAAAATAGAAAAATACCAATTAAATCATGCAAAAATTAAATATAACATTAATATCATACAATTAAGTTCAAACCCATGATAATTGGCCCACAATTGGTAGGATAAATATGCATTATTTAGAGCTAATCAATTCCCCTCTCGAAACAACAATCGATATTGGAGAGTGGTTGCTCTAAGTTCATAGACACTAAGTAAGCACTTGTATATTTTGCTTACTTTACTCATTTTCCCTTGAGATATATATCAATACTACTAGTTAGTTTTGAATAGATTCTAAAAAGAATGGTGGTTCTATTGCATGGCTCCCTCTATTTGATGGTTCTATTTCACCTATTGAAAAGCTCACATGAGAACATATTAAAAATCAATTGATGAGGGAGTTTGGTGGACTATGCAAGAGGGTTGGAGCCCTCCCACTGTCACCACGCATGTTGAAGGTGGAGAAGTGGTGGCTGAAGTGAAATCCTTGAAGGTATGGACTATAAACGAGAAAGAATTTGCTCGGTGAAACTCAAAAGGTTTGAATGCAATACTCAATATCATGACACCTAATGGGCTCCGAAGGATCGCAAATTGAAAAACTTCAAAGGAAGCATTGGACATCTTGGTTGTTTCCTATGAAGGGACTTCCATGGTAAAGATGTCTATACTCCAAAGGTATACCTCTCAGTTTGAGGCTTTGAGGATGTAAGACGATGAACCATTTAGCGAATTTTATGCCAAATTGTGTGATGTTGTAAATTCATCATTCACATTAGCAACCAAGGTTGATGATATGGTCATGAACTTGAAAATCTTGAGATCTCTACATGAGAGGTTTCATACTAAGGTCGCAACCTTGGAAATAAGTGTCAATATGGAGTTGGTGTTGGTGGAAGACCTTGTTGGGTCTATATTGACCTTTGAGATAAACCTTCCATCCTTAAAGAAATCTAAGGGCATTTTCTTGAGCTCTACAAATCAAGAAGCAAGTAAATCTGGATTAACCCAATTAGGAGAGAATGACCCAGCCTTAATTGCATGAAAGTTCAAAAAGTACTTTACAGCTAGCAATGTCAAGTCCTCGAGGTTGAAAGGAAAGCTAGTAGACCTACTCCTAACAAAGGAAGAGAGAAAGATGGAAGAGACTCTCAAAAATAATTTGAGAGAAAGGGGCAAGGCATCTAATGCTTTGAAGGTCAAGGATTTGGACATATTGCATCAGAATGGCTGAATATAAAGAGAAGAGTTTTGCCCAAAGACAATAGGAGAGTTATGAAGTTCACTTGGAGTGACAGTGAAAGTTAGTCAAACCCAAGTGTTGACTCCTCTTCTAGTGATGATGAAGAGAACTTTACGGACTTTTTGTAGGTTCACACTCCTCTCCCCTTGAAATACTTCAACAAGTAAATTGAGGCAAGTCCTACCATGGTGGTAGANTAGTTTCACACTCCTCTCCCCTTGAAATACTTCAACAAGTAAAGTTGAGACAAGTCCTACCACGGTGGTAGAAGACTTGAAGAAGAAATTCCCACATCTATGGAGGATGAAGATTTTTTTGAGGATATACAAGATGTATATGATCAATTATACATGAAATTCCTTAAGAAACAAGAGAAGATGCTCCCCTTGAGTGGTCGAGATAACTCAAGTGAAAAAGATACAAGAGCACTTCAAGTAGACTTGGTGAAGTCCAAGGCCCCAATATATGGCCTAGAGGATGAGAATAAGTCTCTTCTTGATCGGGTGAGCTTCCTTGAGAGAGAATGTCATGAGCTTGTAAAGTATAAGAAGAATCTTGAGTCAAAATGTGCCAAACTTGATAAAGATCTTCATGAATCAAATAAAATCTCTAAGAGACTTTCCCAATGCAATGAATATTTTGAATCAGCATGGTTTAGGCTACACAAATGAATCCACCAATATTTCTTCCAAGATCATGTTTGTGTATGGTATCACCAACCCATCACCCCCACAAGTAGGCACTAGCTCTAAAGTTGATAATAGTGGTAAGGGTAGGCATACAAATAGGAAAGTTCTTAAAGAAGCTAAAACCAATTATGATTTGTACTATACTCGTGGAGAAATGGTCATCATAGTAAACATTGCATGAATGACGAGATGTGTTGAATAAGAAGCCCATGCATCTAGCACACCACTCTAAAACTTTAAATAACTAAGTGTTACATTTTTCTAAGCTTCTAGAGAGGTTAGGTGTGTCCAAGCATAATCATGCACTATCTTCACATGGACCACAAGCTAGAGTGCCCAAAGCTTCTTATACCCCCAAGATCAAAATAGATCTACATACCTTTGGGGAGAAGAGAGCTAGTCCTCCACCCATTCCCCGACCTAACCCGGGTTTTAGGAATGGAAAAAAGTATGTGACTAGGGAGTACTTTGAGAAACTCAACATATCAACCAAGTTGGAGGTCCTGAGTGCTTCTACCAAGGTCATGACTCTTAAGAAGTAGCAAATGTGAGAGTATGGACCAAGGTAATCTTTAATGCATTTCATCAAACACCCTCTGGTCATACACTATGTATATATTTTTTCTTTTTGATTTTTTCATTTATTTTTCTATATGAAAATACAAAAACTTTTGAAAATTGGAAAACCAAAAACAAAAGACATAATAAAATCTAAAAAGAGTTTCGCTGTCAAGTTTGACATTCATTTTTAGGATTTATGGTAAATGCTTTATTTTCTTTCCTATTTTTTAATAGCATTTAAATTCATTTTTTTCATGTACATGTATTAATTGAAAACTTCAAAAATATAGGAAAAGAAAAGGCCAAAAAGATTTTCTTTTTGTTTCTTTTCTTTGTTTCATGATCTTGGTAATTCACACTTTGCTTTGCATTGAAATTGTTCCATCCTTAAATGAAGGTGATAATGTGGATTGCTATGAGTCATATTAGGAGATAGAGAACTTAGTCAAAGTCATTTTCATCCTTGTGTGCTTAGATAATGTTTACCTTTGAAAGATTCAAAACCAAGTTCACGCATGCCATTCAACTTCACACTTAGGAGTTTGATTAGCTTGAACCATTAATTATCTTAAATGACTCTAAGTGTTGGTGATAGGTGAACACATGACTAAATGTTAGTTAAACCTCAATCCCTTAAAAGATGCCAAAGGTCAATTGTGAGTAAAGAGCCCAATGTGCAAAATGTAAAAGGTGAGACATAAATAAATGGCTAAAAACAATCGCACTTGAATTGTGAGAGTACTTATGCTTACTTGTAAATTGCTTATTTGTAAAGCTCATAGAGCTCATGTTGACCATGATTAGAAGCATACACTGAAAAGTAAGGTATTCATAATCATTTTGATTGAAGTCATAGAGTAGAATGGATACAAGAAATGGGGAGTTGTCAAAAAAAGAATATTTAAGACACTCACTAACCGTTCATGTATTCACTTAGTCAATGCATTAGGATTTCATGATGAGCTTATTTAAACTAATTTGTCAAACTAATCAGAATCCCTTTTGTGTTGGAGGTTGGTTTCATGCACGATGCACTTGAATTTGTCAAAGTTGGACAAAATTTGAACACGTGTGAGTGAAATTGAACCAAGTGAGGAAACATTGCTCTAGAATGCATGGGATTGAGTTTTCAATCCTTAAATATGACTTAGAGCATGTGTTGGATGGAATTTGGGTGAAGAATTGGACTGGTTTTGATGAAACACTTATCATGGGTTTGATGAAGCCCACCCCTTAGGTTTGATGAAACTCATAAACATGAGTTTCAGGGAGTTTGAATCTGTTTAAATCCCGAGTCTGAGAAGGGCATCCAAACATGAGCTATGGCAATGGATTCAACTATTTTTTTTAAACCCCCTCAATAGACCCGTACAAAACCAAATAACAAATAGGCCCATAGAGTAATGTATTGAGATAATGAATTTTGGATTGAGCTATTAAAATACAAATTTGTGTAACTTGCAATTTTATGAATTTTGAGAATTTATTGTTTAAAAATGAAAATTGCATTTACTTTTGATCCAAATTCATCCATGCATTGCATTAAATCATGTTTGGAGTTCATATCTATCATACATGCATGCTAGGACTCGTTAGAGTCATTTCAAAGTGAGTTGGACAAATTAGACCAAGAGGTCACCTGCTTCAAGGCTCGCTCGAGCGGTCTAGTACCTCACTCGAGCAGTTTGCTTTGAGAGTCACTCTAGTGAGGTTTAAAAGTGAGTTTTCAACAAGAAAGACTCATTCTTTACACAGACTCACTCAGTGCCAAGCATACCTATTGCATTTCCATGAGATTAAACTTGATCTAGAGTGAGATTAGTGCATTTCAACCTTAAATCTATGATTATCCTCTTGTTTTAAACTATTCTACCATTTACTTTGGGAAATATGATGCCAAGATCTAAGAAAAGGGCAAGGGTACAGGTTTTGGGTAGTAGAGCTCTCTTATAGGCATCACAATACCGAGAGCTATATTCACTACAAGAATTTTAGGTTCTTGCATCACTTTTTTTTCCGACTGTTCCTAATGCCATCGTTTAAAATGATTTATTTGCAATGGTAAGCCATTGCCATGGCAACAAATACAATAAAATTTTATTTTTTGCGACAGGAGTTTTTTTCGTCGCAAATATTTTTGCTTGTGTTACATTAAGGACAAGTTGTGATAATTAGTCTATATAAAACGGCGTCGTTTTGTGGATCAAATATTAAAATAATATTATTTTGTGGGCTGTGTCTATTGTTTTAGTAATATAATTTTTTTTCCTAGTAAATTTAGTAATATATTTGATGAAAGAATAAAAAACCTATTTTTGCTCCTTCACAGTTGACAGTTCGCACCTCTCTCTCTCCCTTGTATTCACACATCTCCCACACTCATGATCAATTCTTTCTTTAGCTTATCGACTCTCCTCTCTTCCTCTCTCTTTGTTAAAAATTGAGTAAACCCTAGGTCTCCAAATTGCTGCTGCCACTACCGTTTACTAGAGTCATGATATCAATCTTCCATTGTGGGCAATTACTTTCTGTATTGTAGCAGATTCCAGTCGTCCCTCATCTTCCAGGTATGTTTTCTTCATCTTTTTCATTGATTGTTCTATCTAGGTTATACAATGGTTCTCATATTTAATTGTTTTTCTATCTCTCCCATCCTTTTTATTGATTTTTCTATCTGGGTTTGTACCCATTTATGATTGGGTTGAAACTACTTGATCTTATCTGAGTGGTGGTTATGTGATTTGATAGTATGCAATTATCTGCTCTTTTAAATAAGTCATGAGATTATGTATGGTCCAAATTTTATAAGGACTTTTAATGAGAGCCAAGGTGGGCCTCCTCTTAAAGATCCTTTGCATGTCTAGATGGGCCAATTTTAAGATCAAGAGCCAAGAAGATCAAGGAAGCAATGCAAGGATTGGTGCAATCCACTTGGGATGAAGCTAGCAAGAGCCCAACACTCAAGATGGGCTTGAAAGAAGGAGAACCAATTTTGATCCACTTGATCCAAGTTGTGGAAGACATGAAGACATTACTTAGAGATAGGGCCTTTGTTGTTAAGCCTTTCAATTTGTTTAAAGAATTTTTGTTATTAGTTTAGAATAAGTGGGTTTGAGGATTCTTAGCCCACATATGTCTTATTATTTTATTTGAACTAGGGTTTAGAATAAGTACTATAGCATGGTACTGTTCATGCTACAGTACCCCCCCATGACACTATTCACTCAAGGGCATTTTTGAGAGAAAGGGTCACAAATTTTAGTCTTTATTTATTCCTATTTGGATTAGGATTTGTTTCCTTAATAGATTATGATCTGTTTCCTTGTAATGGCCAGCCTATAAATAGGTGTTCCATCAATGAAATATGGGAGACAATATACAATGAATTTTGATTGTGAGTTGAGTTGAGTTTACTCCTCTTGTTCTTGATTGAACTTTTGAACTTATCAAAGGTAAATCACAACCTTTGTGGTTTTCCTCCTTGTAATTTGGGTTCTTGAGACGGGTTCTTCAATGGGTCTAGATTTTAATACAATTTAGGTTCTTGAAAGGAGATCTCAACGGGTCTAGATTCTCCATCCAAAGACCTGAGTTTGGCTTTCTTGGGTTGTATTTCCAATATTGTTGTTGGGTCTCAAAGCAAGACTATTGGGGTTCACATCATTTGGTATCAAAGCAAGGTTTCCAATCAGGTCATATCCTATCCTTTTATTTCTTGCATAATTGATTATAGGGCTTCATTGTTCTAGGGTTACAAAAAAAAAAAAAAAAGCTGCTGAAATTCTTAGAGTTTTGTGTGGCTGCCAATTTTTTTTTTTCATTATTGTAGGGTTTGAGTTATTGTTAGGGTTTTGTCAATTGTTTATTATGTAGTTTGTGATCAAATCAGTTGGCGAAATAAAAAAATTCGCCCAAGAAACAAAAACCAGAAGGAAAAAAAAAAGAGAAAATTAGAATTTTTTTTTCTTTGTTTTTCCTGCTACCGTCAATGTTTATGATCTTTCTCCTTAAGATGTGGGCGAAGATTCGAGGATGAATCTTTTTGAGGAAAAGGGGAATGATGAGGGCCAAGGTGGGCCTATTCTTAAAGATCCTTTGCATGTGTAGATGGGCCAATTATAAGATCAAGAGCCAAGAAGATCAAGGAAGCAATGCAAGGATTGGTGCAATCCACTTGGGATGAAGCTAGAAAGAGCCCAACACTCAAGATAGGCTTGAAAGAAGGAGAATCAATTTTAATCCAATTGATCCAAGCTGTGGAAGACATGAAGGCATGACTTAGAGATAGGGCCTTTTGTTGTTAAGCCTTTCAATTTGTTTAAAGAATTTGTATTATTAGTTTAGAAGAAGTGGATTTGATGATGCTTAGGCCACATATGTCTTATTAATTTATTTGAACTAGGGTTTAGAATAGGTACTATTGTATGGTACTGTTCATGCTACAGTACCATGACACTATTTACTCAAGGGCATTTTTGAGAGAAAGGGTCACAAATTTTAGTCTTTATTTATTCCTATTTAGGTTAGGATTTGTTTCTTTAATAGATCAGAATTTGTTTCCTTAATAGATTAGGATTTGTTTCCTTGTAATGGCCAGCCTATATAAAGATGTTCTATCAATGAAATATGGGAGAAATAATATATAATGAATTTTGATTGTGAGTTGTGTTGAGTTTACTCCTCTTGTTCTTGATTGAACTTTCGAACTTATCAAAGGTAAATCACAACCTTTGTGGCGTTCCTCCTTGTAATTTGGGTTCTTGAGACGGGTTCTTCAACGGGTCTAGATTCTTCATCCATGGACCTGAGTTTGGCTTTCCTGGGTTGTATTGCCAATATTGTTGTTGTGTCTCAAAGCAAGACAATTGGGGTTCACTTCAAATTATAGCAAGAAGGGATAGATTCACTCATTTGATCGGCGGTGCAATTCCAAAAAAGTGTGCCAACGTACTCGAAGCTGGAGGTGTGATGGCCTCAAATG